GGGGGGGGGGGGGGGGGGGGGGGGGGGGGGGGGGGGGGGGGGGGGGGGGGGGGGGGGGGGGGGGGGGCGGGAGTATTCATGATTTTCAAGCTACACCTTCTCACCGTGTTCCACACATGATACAACACCCCCTCCGCCCAAGAGATGCCACACATACACGCGCACCTGGCGTACGCACACCCGGTAAGTAAGTATCGTCGCCGCTCGACCTATAAGCCCACAACGAAAAATAACCTTGGATCAAGGACGGGGTCACCGAATATACCACCCCCCTACAGAGCAACACCCCCGGTGATGAGAAAAAAAAAATTGAGCCCCAAGCGTGTTATCATCTGTGGGTGTTATCTTGAGTGGCACATGGACGCATCTCCTCGTGCTTGCCCGCATTCCTACGAATACCACCACATGAAGTCGGGGGGGGGGCGAGGGGACTCAAGCCACGCAACCCCCCCCAGGAAGCGCAGGCAGAGTGCTTGCTCGCCCTGATACGTATCACATCAAGGCGCGGGGATTGATCCAAGCCACGCAGCCGCTCCCCCCCGGCAGCGCAGGCAGCACCACACCTTCGAGCAGCTGGTCGCTCGGCGGCAACGACCACAACCGAACGGCCCCGTCCCCCGAAGCGCTCGCGAGCAGGCTCCCCTGTCTGTTGGCAGCCACGTCCCAGACGCGCACTTTTTCCCTCCCCGCCACCGCCCCAGCCCTCAGCGTCAAAACCGGGGACACTGATCCTACTTGGTCACCGCCACCGCCACCGCTGTCGCTGCCGCTGCCGTCACCGCGGCAATCCTCGTCGCCGTTGTCGGTGGCGAAGACTTCCCCGTCCCGCTCTCGTCTTCGTCGCCGCCGCCGCCGCCGCCTTCGCCTTCGTTGTCGCGCCTCCCCGTCATCCGCACCGAAACAGCCACCTCCATCATCGCCACTACCGTCGCCACTACCACCTCCACCATCGCCCCTAACACCTCCACCATCGTCTTGCCACAACGCGGTAGGATTCGTCGGCCACAGGCTGATGTCCCCTTCCCCTCCCCCAGAGGCCAACAAAGCCGCCTCCTCGCCCACGAAGGCCACGCACCTTACCCCGGCCGAGTGCCCACCCCTGTATACGTCTAGGGGGCTGTCTGGGACGGCCGGGCATCGATAGTCTCGGGCCAGCGTCGACGCCCGCGGCGTCATCTGCGTGTGTGTGCGAACGTTTTTCGGGGGGGGGAGGACACTAATGTTAGCGCATGTCGTACTCGTTAGACCATTTGACTTCGCATCCTGACCATGCCGGAACGGAGAGATTTCACCGGCCCAAGGCTACGTTTTACAAGGATGAGAACCAGGAGCTGGTCCTCACCTTTGCGCTTGCTGTGCCAAAACAGACATGCCACGAGTTGATTGGGCGTCCGGGCGAACGGGGGGGGGGGGGGGGGGGGG